CCCACCTGACAGTTTAGCTAAAGGACTTATTTATAACCCTAGTTATTTGACTTTCCAGAACGCAAGTCCCAGCATTTTCCAATTGAAGTCACTGTCAACAAGAAAGCACCATCTTTCACTTACACTGGTTCCAGACTTCCATGTGTTAATACCCGTTTTCCCCACACCAGACTTTAAACTTTGCATTCACTTTCTGACCTTATTTACCCTATGTCAATTTGCTCTTTGCTCCATTAGTAACCCAGAGATGATTACTTTTGTGGTTTGGCTTTGTAATTTAGCCCCTACTTTCTCATTGTCCCGCAAAACAGCATCATCTTTGGTCTTGCTTACGTCTTTGAAAAGGAGGTGTATTCATTCAGAACATAATCTGGAAGTTCAGCCTCCAACTGTATTGTTAACTGATTTCAGCTGGAATGACTGCTGCAATTGCCCTCTGTATCTTCAGCAAAGTGGAAATTAAAGGTCCTTCTCATTATAATTGAGTGACCATGTGTATGTACTGTGGACAGGACAGTCTTGAACTTGCCCATATTGCCTTCTGTGAAGGATAGTATGTCAACAATGAATCAGGCTGACGTGAGTAATGGCTCTTGTGTTGGTTGCTGGTGGACTATAAACCACAATGAGTTTGCAACTTTCAAACACCATTGATTTTTGATATTGAAATCTGTCCTGACCAGGCCACAATTTATCCTTTCCTGTGCTAACCTGCTGACTCTACAAGAATGGTAGCAATGAGCTTCTGTTATCAGATTATCTCAGTTTAATGTTCTCAACATTTTAACTAATCAATCCTCTTTCTTCTAAAGACAAATGCATTCTTGAACGGCAAAGGGGCCCTGGAATGAGACTTCGTATTGTGAGGATTGTCTTCATGAATGTCTCCTTGTAGGCAGTGGCTTTTTTTTTGTTTTTGAAGTTGACAAGGTGGGATCAGAGCCAAGTGCTGGTGTCGTAGGTGTAAAATCAAACAGGTATTGCTTCTTATTTACAGGGTGAACCTGTTTATTCCTGGTACCAGAAAATCCTCCCTTGGGACCTTGTTACAAAAACATTTCAGGTGCCAGTACTTTGTTTTCCCTTTTCTTTTACAAGGAATATAACTGTTTTAAAACATTCACTGTGGATTGTTTTTGTTGCTCACTCTGGAAAGGCAGAGTTTCCGTTGAGATACTCCAGTATAAGTAGATGTTGGTGTGTTTCTGTGTGAACAGTATGATCACCCTTGTGGGATGAGACTGAGATGAGTTTTCTCCATAATTTTATGAGCAGAGAAAATAATTCAAATAATGAAAAGGAAAAGACCAAAAGATCCATCCAGTTCATGCCAAACAGTTGTGATGCATTATGCATCACAACGTAGACAAGCCTGACCCATATCTCTCGGAACTATATAGTTGCTTAGGAGAGGCAAAAATAAGCAAAACCCAGGCAATTTGGAGGTGGGGGAACCTGGAAAGTTCCACTGACCCCCGTGTGCAGCTGTTTATCCAAATTTCAGGCTCTGATGAATATTCTACAATACCTGTTTTTTGTATGAGGAGTCCTCTGACAGATGAACACTTTCTCGAAGTAATTCATCAAATCAAACTCTAGATCACTGGCCAAATGTATGCAAGGGTAAGTCAGCCAGGGCACCAACTGATGGTGTGTAAGCAAATTACTGTTGATGCTGGAAATCTGAAATAAAGAAAATTGGAAAGCAATCCGGTTTGGTGACATCTGTGAAGAAAGTGTTAACGTTTCATGTCAATAACCCATTGTCAGAACTGCTTAGAGATGTAATGCCTTTTTAAATGAGGCAGAGCAAGTGGGAGGTGAGAGCAAAAAAGGAAGTCCAGCAATTTATGTTGCATGAGAAGAAGGTGCTGACTAATTAGTAAGTTTGTTTGAGGTGTTGCCATAGAGAATGGAAACTGGGAAATGAGTTGTTTACTGTGTAACATACCAATTCAGGAATGGGCCCAAAGCTGCCATCTTTAATCCTGAAAAGTACCCTCTATACCTCTGACTGACTATCCTGAAAGCATAAGCTGTCTCAAAAATTTGAGCAAGAGGTGAAGCAATCTGTTCCATGCTATAACCATGCAACAAAAACCAGACTGGTGTTCGCCACTAATAGGATGCTACTGTCAAGCAAAAAGATGTTCTGTGTACCACACAAATGAGTAATGTGATACATGAATTTCAGCATCAGTGTGATGTAGGCCGTGTGTCCTAACACATGGTAGATCATATCAAGCAACACAAGGACTGATTGCATCCACTAGCTCTTGCTTGCAAAATTCAAAAGTGTCCAACAAATCCTGTTTATGCTAAGAATTATGCAAGCAACCAATTCTGATTATCGTTTGAGTTCACTGTGGCTCAGTAACATCTGTTGGGAGCTACATATGTTCACATGATGTGTTCTTTGCAAACAGAAAGAGCATGTCCATACATTGTGCATTTATCAACCGAACAAAAGTTTGGGGGAGTGCAGTTATTTACTGGTGCACTCCTTTGCACTGCTTTGGTCCAATTAGAATTGGTCTGCCTCGTTTGAATTTGAACTTCATGGTTAACTATTCCCTGGTACGTTCTCCATGGCCACACCTTTATCAATCAGTCTGGTTGCTAACAAATCAGCACCCTCTTCCCCTGCAGTACAAATTATTGTTCACTTTTTGAGATTTGGTATTCTTGTACTCTGTTATGATGAGTGCAATATAAAAAGCTTTGGCAGTGTGTCACTTTCTTCATCAATGCATAAGTCCTGTAATATAACTGACTAAAGGGGTAATTCTGTGATCTGGTGGGAAGGTATGAGAGGTTTAATAATGATGCAATGTAAAAGGAGATGATAATGGAACAAGAAAGAAACGAAAGATAGGTCTAAACAGTCCAAAGATGAGCAGTGTAGGTGGATTGGCCATGCTAAATTGCCCATAGTGTCCATGGATGTTTAGATTAGGTGGGTTAGACATGGGAAATGCAGTGGTAGGGGAATGGGTCTGGGTGGGATGACCTTCAGAGGAGTGGTTTGGACTTGTTGGGCCGAATGGCTTGTTTCCACACTGTAGGGACTTTATGATTCTACAAGAGGTATAATGAAGAAAATCAGAATGATCACTAATAACTGCCTTACAAAAATAGAAAGCAGAAAAAAAGCAAAGGGAAAAATGGGGCAAAGATAATGAGTTTGTTGAACTCCATGTCCAATTCTGAAGGCTTTAAAGTACTTAGTCAAAAGATGTGTTGCTGTTCCTTTTGCTCATTGGTCAGATACTATGTATGTATAGATGAGGTGATTGGACAAGGTATCAAAAACAATCACTGGCCAGCTCCTTTATAGCAGATTGGATATGGACTGATGAATACACTCCTGACCACTTGTTACCAGGGAAGTGCACGTACATGGAAATTAAGTGAAAATGGATGCTGTGGAACTAGTGGCATGTTATGCAAGGTAACAGACAAACTAAGTAACCACAAGCCCCAACTTTTGTGGAGCTGAAAGGAAGTTTGGATTAAAATATTCATTAGCAGGCTTCTATCTGAACTTAATGGAAAGTGATCCATGGCTAAATTATCTACTCAATATTTCCCCAAATCTCATGCACTTTTTGGAAACAGATGTCAGGGAGCTATTTAATCATGAATCAAATGTGTGAAAGAAACTTGAGTTGAGATCTTATTGCTTCATAAGCTAGCACTGTAACTTGACATTGCCTGAGTAGGATGTTAATGTGCGGTGTGGGACCTTGACTCATCTTCCTATCTCCTGGCAGCTGCCCCCACCACTGGCAGTCACTGCTGTATTTGGTTCCAGGCTCCTGTATCTTTAATCTGCAAAAGATGTTCACAGGATTACTGAATGTGTGGTCCTGATTTAATCACAGTCATATGAGTCTTACTCAGTTTCTTTTTGCCTACTGATATAGTTGGAACATTTTTTAATGTGGCAGTCACCAAAGCCCACACCATCTCAGTATTTATCTGTAATATTATTGACTGTCTGACCACACCACAGATCTTGCTTTTCTAAATTTAAAAATTAGTCAATGTATTTAATAAATTTTGAAGAAGAGTTTGTTTGTGTGCAGGTATATTTAATGTATTTAGCCCTCACTTTCCTGCCTTTGTCCTGTAACAGCCACCAGTGGCTTGAAGCTATTCAGCTGAGGAGAATCTGGACTCGTGTCTCATGATGTACAACTTTCATTCTCCCCAGGCACTGGAATATGAGATGACAGAGATTGGAATGTTGGAAACAAAAAAAAGGACCAAATGAAAGACAAGGGAAGGGATCAAGACACTGCAGGGTATGACGGAAGGAGTGAGATAAGGGAAATGAGAGAGACTGAAGGAATAAGTTAGGAAGATATAAGCAAAGGAAGTGGAGGGAATAGTTTCAGGATTATCAGTACCCTGAGGGGCTGAAAGGTTTTTTCACCCCAAGATTTAGTTGGGTTATTGCCTGTATGTAATGTCATGTTGATTGTATGTATTTTATCCTATTATAATCAACCTCAAAACTATAAATGAACTCTCCCTTCACTCCTGAACTTCAAGATTTTCTTGAAACTAAATTGACTGTATCTATTCTAATTTGTTTCAGCCAGAGACAGTAATTCATTCACACTTGTCACGAAGTGTGCATTTTGAGTGATTTGGTGCCTATAATCTTTGTGTCTGTTGAATCTTTCAGCACATGGCAGCTTGAGAAGCATGACCATATATCACCAAACATTTCCCTCCCTTTTGCCTTTTTGTTGCTTGTGCTGTGTACCACTCTTCTATGTATTGCAGGATATTTTTATTTACCTAAACTGATGTAAATTGAATTCAGTTATTGATCTTTTATGGAGTGGAAGGAATTGGAATTATTGTCAATTGGCATCTTGTCATTGTAACCCTATTTCCCTGATTGCATGATACTTTGGGAAACATTTCTTGATCTGTTGACCTGTGTGAACGTACATTGATTTATCAAATCATCTTATTCCCCCCTCCAGTTAGTCAGTATTGGCTCTTCCTATAACTATGGAAATGAAGACCAGGCTGAATTTCTTTGTGTTGTCTCCAGGGAGTTGCATAATGCTCCATATGGCACAAACACGGAACCCAGCGAAAAAGCCAAGGTGAGTGAAATTGTACAAAAAAAGTTAACCTCTTATGGGCTGGAAGTGCTTGTTTTCTGTGGTTTTTACCTCTGGAATTGATCCAGCAGAGTATTGTGATAAAAATATTCCTTTGAAGAGTCCAAACTGAAGTGAGCTTGGGGAGTGTCAAATTGTCTTTGTCGGCAGTCCATCATTGTATACAGCATTCTTGTACGTGCAGAGGAGTGAATAGTGTTTCTGTAAGGCTGGGTAGGGAGAGGGCATGACACTGCAGGCTGCATCTAGGAATATGTCATGCAAGCATTAGGTGCAGGATATGATGTGCACCAAGCCTCATGATAAGCAGAATAGGTATTTAAATATCTTTTAAGGTCACCACATACAGCTGATGGAACATTACACATTATTTTGTCAGTTCCGGTACAATTATAATTGTCTCAGAAGGGGTCTGTCTGATAAAGATCATACTTGGGTTACTGTACTGCTGAATATTCTACCAGTGTTTGCCACATGTTAACATAACACGTGGCTCTGCATAACCTAAGACAGAGGATGATGGTGGAGGGTTGTTGTTCAGACTGGAGGCCTGTGACCAGCAGTGTGCCACAAGGATCGGTGCTAAGGTCCACTGTTGTTCATCATTTATTAAGAACAAAATTGATGAGAATATAGGAGGTATGGTTAGTAAGTTTGCAGATGACACCAAAATTGGTGGTATAATGGACAGTCATAGAGATATACAGCACCGAAATAAACCCTTTGGTCCAATTTGCCCATGCCAACCAGATATCCTATTATAAATCTAGTTCCATTTGCCAGCATTTGGCCCATATCCCTCTAAACCCTTCCTATTCATATACCTATCCAGATGCCTTTTAAATGTTGTAATCGTACCAGCCTCCACCACTTCCTCTGGCAGCTCATTCCATGCATGCACCACCCTCTGTGTGAAAAAGTTGCCCCTTAGGTTCCTTTTATAGCTTTCCCCTGTCACCTTAAACGTATGCCATCAAGTTTTGGATTCCCCCGCCCCAGAGAAAAGACCTTGGCTGTTCATCCTATCCATGCACCTCGTGACTTTATATACCTTGATAAGGTCACCCCTCGGCTTCCAACCCTCCAGGGAGAATAGCCCCAGCTGATTCAGCCTCTTCCTACAGCTCAAATCCTCCAGCCCTCGCAACATTCTTGTAACTCTTTTCTGAACTTTTTCAAGTTTCACAATATCCTTCCTAGAGCAGGGAAACCAGAGTTGAACGCGGTATTCCAAAAGTGGCCTAACCAATGTCCTGCACAGCTGCAACATGACATCCCAACTCCCATACTTGATGCACTGACCAATAAAGGCAAGCATACCAAATGCATGCTTCACTATCCTGTCTACCTGTGACTCCACTTTCAAGGAGCTATGAACCTGCACTCCAAGCTCTCTTTGTTCAGCAACACTCCCCAGAACCTTACCATTAAGTGTATAAGTCCTGCCCTGATTTCCTTTTCCAAAATGTAGCACCTTACATTTATCTAAGTTAAACTCCAACTGCCACTCCTCGGCCCAACTGATCAAGGACCTGTTGTACTCTGAGGTAACCTTTTGGCTGTCCGCTACCCCTTCAATTTTGACATCATCTGCGAACTTACTAACAATACCAGCTATGTGCACATCCACATCATTATATAAATGACGAAAAGCAGTGGACCTAACGCCAATCCTTGTGGCACAGTGTTGGTCACATGCCTGTAATCTGAAGAGCTACCTCCACCACCACCCTTTGTCTTCTATCTTTGATTCTGTATTCACATGGCTAGTTCTCTCTGTATTCCATGTGATCTAATCTTGCTAACCAGTCTACCATGAGGAACCTTGTCAAAGCCCATATAGATCACGACCACCGTTCTGCCCTCATCAATCCACTTCATTACTTTTTCAAAAACTCAATCAAGTTAGTGAGACACGATTTCCCACGCACAAAGCTGAAGAATGTTATCTGAGAGTGCAATGGGATCTTGATCAACTGGGCCAGTGGGCCAAGGAATGGCAAATTGAGTTTAATTTAGGTAAATGCATGGTGTTGCATTTTGGTAAAACAAACCAGGACAGGACTTACACAGTTAATGGTAGGGCCCTGGAGAGTGTTGTTGAATTGAAAGACCAAGGGGTGCAGGTACATAATTCCTTGAAAGTAGAATCACAGGTAGATGGGATGACGATGAAGGTGTATGGCATGCTTGCCTTTATCAGTCAGTGCATTGGGTACAGGATGTCATGTTACAGCTGTACAAGACATTGATAAGGCTGTATTTGGAGTACTGCATACAATTCCGGTCGCTCTGCTATAGGAACGATGTTATTAAACTGGAAAGGGTGCAAAAAAGATTTGCAAGCATATCACCAAGACTGAAGAGTTTGAATTATATGGAGAGACTGGATAGGCTGGGACTTTTTTCCTTGGAGCATAGGTGGCTGGAGGATGACCTTATAATGTTTATAAAATCATGAGGGGCATAGGTAAGGTAAATAGCCAAGGTCTTTTCCACTGGGTAGGGGAGTCCAAAACTAGAGGGCATAGGTTTAAGGTGAGAGGGGAAAGATTTAAAAGGGTCCTGAGTGGCAGCATTTTCTCAAGGAGATTAGTGCGTATATGAAACGACCTGCCGTGGAAGTGGTAGAGATTAATACACTTAGAACATTTAAAAGACGTTTGGACAAGTACATGGATAGGAAAGTTTTTGAGGGATATGGGCCAAATGCAGGCAAATGGGACTAGTTCAGTTGAGAAAACTTGATTGGGCATGGACAAGTTGGGCCAAAGGGTCCGTTTCTGTGCTGTATGACTCTGACTCTAATGTTAGATTTAGCAGGGAATGTAAATGTTTTTTGTGTGCCCAGGATTTTAAATGGCCTGCTTTGTTTTTTGCCAAAGTAGCTACTGAAAGAAGGAATACCCCTGCCCTAGTTCCCTCTTATTTAGAGTTTAAAGCTGGTATTTACTGTTGAACTCATCAGCCCATAAACGAAGGATACTGGCAATTGTTAGTAGTTCAGTCATATTTGCAGAGAGAGAGAGAGAAACCATTAATGTTTCAGATCCGTGATCTTTTATCAGAAGGAGAAGCTAAACTCTGTTACTTTTACAATAGTCGTGGAAAAGGATAGGTACATACAGCAGAGTAAGGTTTATAATTGGGGAAAGGTAATTACAATTCTGTTAGGCAAGAACTGGGTAACATAAATTGGGAACAGATGCTGTCAGGGAAGAGCACTATTGAAATGTGGAGATTGTTTAAGGAATGCATACTATGTGTGCTTGATATGTTTGTCCCTAGCAGGCAGGGAAGATGCGGCCGAGTGAGGGAGCCTTGGTTCTCGAGAGGTCGAACGACTGGTTAAGAGGAAGAAGGATGCTTAGGAAACAAGGAATGGAAAAGGCTCTAGAGGGATACAAGTTATCCAGGAAGGAGCTGAAGAAAGAGCTTAGAAGAGCTATAAGGGAGCATAAGAAAACCTTGGCAGAAAGGATCAAGGAAAACTCCAAGGCTTTCTACACGTACGTGAGGAATAAGAGAATGACCAGAGAAAGGATAGGGCCAGTCAAGGATTGTGAAGGGAATTTGTGCACGGAGCCTAAAGAGATAGGAGAGGTCCTTAATGAATACTTTTCGTCAGTATTCACAACTGAGAGGGACCTAGTTGTAGAGGAGGACAGTGTGAAACAGGCTGGTAGGCTAGAGGAGGTCGATGTTGGTAAGGAGGATGTGCTAGGAATTTTGAGGAAGTTGAAGATAGATAAGTCCCCCGGGCCTGATGGGATTTATCCAAGGATTCTATGGGAAGCGAGGGAAGAGATCGCAGGGCCTTTGGCGATGATCTTTTCATCCTCCCTGTCCACGGGTATAGTGCCGGAAGATTGGAGAGAGGCAAACGTCATTCCCTTGTTCAAAAAAGGGAATAGGGATAACCCTGGAAATTACAGGCCAGTTAGTCTTACATCAGTGGTGGGCAAATTATTGGAAAGGGCTCTAAGAGATTGGATTTATGATCACTTGGAAAGGCACAGTTTGATTCGTGATAGTCAGCATGGATTTGTGAGGGGTAGATCATGCCTCACAAACCTTATTGAATTCTTTGAAGAGGTGACCAAACACGTGGATGAAGGTAGAGTAGTGGATGTGGTATACATGGATTTAAGTAAGGCGTTTGATAAGGTTCGCCATGGTAGGCTCATGCAGAAGGTAAGGAGGCATGGGATAGAGGGAAATGTGGCAGATTGGATTCAGAATTGGCTGACCCTTAGAAGACAAAGGGTGGTAGTGGACGGAAAATACTCAACATGGTGCTCAGTTATGAGTGGTGTACCACAAGGATCTGTCCTGGGTCCTCTTCTATTTGTGATTTTTGTAAATGATTTGGATGAAGGAGTGGAAGGGTGGATTAGCAAGCTCGCGGACGATACAAAGGTGGGTCGAGTTGTGGACAGTGCGGAGGGCTGTTCTAGGTTACAAAGGGACATTGATAGGATGCAGAGCTGGGCTGAGAAATGGCAGATGGAGTTTAACCCTGAAAAGTGTGAGGTGATTCATTTTGGAAGGACAAACTCGAAAGCAGAATACAGGGTTAACGGAAAGATTCTTGGCAGTGTGGAGGAGCAGAAGGATCTTGGGGTTCATGTTCACAGTTCCCTGAAAGCTGCCACCCAGGTGGATAGAGTTGTTAAGAAGGCATATGGTGTGTTAGCTTTCATTAATAGAGGAATCGAGTTCAAGAGCTGTGAAGTAATGCTGCAGCTATACAAAAGCCTGGTTCGGCCACATCTGGAGTATTGTGTCCAGTTCTGGTCGCTTCATTACAGGAAAGATGTGGAGGCATTGGAAAAGGTGCAGAGGAGATTTACCAAGATGTTGTCTGGAATGGAGGGAACGTCTTACGAGGAAAGGTTGAGAGAGCTAGGGCTTTTCTCTTTAGAACGACGAAGGATGAGAAGTGACTTGATAGAGGTGTACAAAATGATCAGAGGTATAGATAGAGTGGACAGCCAGAGACTTTTTCCTAGGGTGGAGGTACCTTTTACGAGGGGACATAGTTTTAAAGTGAGTGGAAGTAGATACAGGGGAGACATCAGAGGTAGGTTCTTTACTCAGAGTGGTCGGGACGTGGAATGCATTGCCGGAGAGGGTAGTGGAGTCGGCCCCATTAGGGGTATTTAAGCAGCATTATGGATGATAGTACAAGGTAGGGGTGGAGGGTAGATAGACCTTAGGGTTAGGGTAAAAGTTCGGCACAACATCGTGGGCCGAAGGGCCTGTACTGTGCTGTACTGTTCTATGTTGTATGTTCTAAATATGTAATAGATTTAACGCATGAAAAGATGGGGAAAGAATAAAAGAAAAAGCCTACGATAAGGTGAAGGGCAGAAGAGATTACTTGACAAAAGATTTTATGATGCAAAGCAAGAGGAAGTGGTAATGGGACAAGTAAAGAATCTAAAATTGTTGCGAGGTGGGGTGAATAACCTGATAACTGCCATCTCAGCACAAAGTAGAAAAAATATTTTGAAGAAGGGGATAAAACAGTAGTTTAAAAAAGCAAAGAAACAGAAAACAATGTGGGCAGAGATTATGATCTAAAATTAAATTCAGTGTTGATTTCAGAAGGCTCTTGAGCTTGTGTTAAGCATTATTGGAGTACAGACAAGTCAAGGTCAGAAACATCTTTGGTAGGGGCGGCACAGTAGCACAGTGGTTAGCACTGCTGCCTCACAGCGCCAGGAACATGGGTTCAATTCCACCCTCGGGCGACTGTCTGTGTGGAGTTTGCACATTCTCCCCATGTCTGCGTGGGTTTCCTCCCACAGTCCAAAGATGTGCAGGCTAGGTGGATTGGCCATGCTAAATTACCCATAGTGTTCAGGGATGTGTAGATTAAGTGGGTTATGGGGGATGGGTTTAGGTGGGTGCTCTGAGGGTTGGTGTATACTTGTTGGGCTGAAGGGCCTGTTTCCACACTAGGGATTCTATGACAACATCAGAGTTGTGCAAGCAAAATGGAGACTTAAAGTTACATCACTGAAACTTGGGGTAATGCTGAGGACTGAATGGAGGTGTTTCACAAAGTGGTCATCCAGCTTGTGTTTGATCTTCCCTGTGTAGAGATCATCACATTGTGAGCACCTAATGCAATATACTGAATTGAGAAAGTAAAAGTAAATTTGTGTTTCACCTGGAAGGAATGGTTCGTTGGACATTGAAAAGGGAGGAAATTAAACGGCAGATTTTGCATGTCATACGCTTGGATGAAAAGATTCTCTGTTCCCTTTGGTGAAAGACTGAAAAGCTGAACCCACACCTTAGTGGGTCAACCGTGTCCACATTGGAAGTCCTCCCAAATGTCACCATGGATCTTCATTTTCTTAAGAGGAAGAAGATTGAAATAAAAATGAACTATTGGATTTCAAATTCATGGAAACAGTAAAACAGATTGTATAACTTTTTTGTTAATGACTTTTCTCCACTATTTCTGTTGAACACTATCTTTTGTTAGTGCTGACAGGATACTTGACTATAGTTTGAAAATCTAAATTGCCTACAACATTCTTTTTCCTTCCTGTTTATATTTTTGCTGCATGTTGAATCCAGAGCGAAGATGAAGAAACGGATTGCGAAATGAATGACTCAGATTAATTTGAAATAAAATGTACTGGTGAGCATTGGCTACCTGTAGAAACCCACAAACCCTCTCATTTACCCCGTTTGCCCTCACCCTTGTAGAACTGCAAACTGTGACCCTGCACTGGACCAGCCTGGATGCCCGTGTGCCTGGTAGAATGGTATTGTGCTATGTGTTGTTCTAGTGTTGCATGCTCTGCTGTGCTGCAGTCAGAGATGCTTGGTATAGTCAACCACGGGGACCCAGGCTTCTATTTTGAGGACATCTGAAAAGTACATGCTCTAAAAATCGAATTTCTTGTACCTTGCCCTATTGCCATTTGTATATATCTACATGGTCCCTTTACTAGGTGCTAAGATATTGACAATGAGAAACATTCTCCCACCTGTTTACTTTGTTAACCTGTGTTTTGAGTTTGTTGCTTACTCTGTATCAACTTCTCAGAATGAAAGGTGGGAGGGAGGGGAGAGCTGTTGCTGTTTTACTAACAGCATGAGCAGATTGAAAACTTTGCCCCAATCCATCCATGATTTGTATCACAAAACAATTTGCCATTCTATCTAATCTCTAATCCAATACAAGCAAGGCTAGTCAGTCCTCAGTCCTGCTGTGCCTGCTGAATGAAATCTTGAGCAGAACACCCAGGTATTGCCTCTGACACAAGAAAGGGAAGCTTTGGCAACTCATTTCAGTTAGTGTTGCTCTCAATCCTCAATTTTTAGTTTAAACAATATTAAAGTTATTAAAATTAGGATAGGTGTATAATCATTCCTTGCCTTGTTGGTCTGTTATTGGTACTTTAATCATTTTACCTCCATCCTTTACTGATACTTGTTCTTTATAACTAGCCCCATAGGTCCAAAATCCTAAAGAACTGTAGTTGCTGTAAATCAGAAACAAAAAAGAAATTGTTGGAAAAACTCAATAGGTCTGACAGCATCTAAGAGGAGAAAGTAGAGTTAATGTTTCCAGTTCGGTGACCCTTCTTCAGAACCCATAAAATCCTCTGATCTTTCTCTGCAAAAACAAAGGTTTTGGACTGTTAGTTTCTGGACTGTTGAAAGCTTGCCTGACTCCAATAATACATTTATTCAATGTACAAATGTTAAAGGGGGATGGTTCTCATCTGACTGAGGTATAAGCACACCACAGGGATGGTAAGTGGAGCTCAATGTTACTGCTGTCACAAAACACAATGTGAAACATCTGTTTCCCAGAATTAGTACATCATGTTATCTGTTAAATGTGTGGAGTAAAGTCAATTGTGCTGCACAATCCAGGTCCATGCTTCATCCCTGGTCCTGACCAGATTGGACTGGTCCACATTATTGTTGAACTTGATCTTACTGTTGTTTTGATCAGCCTGTTCTACTGAAAATGATCACTCATCCGTTAGTGAACGTTGCCAGTGCAGGACTGGGCTCGGCTGTGATGCTTTCACAGTTGGATATCTTGATGGTACTTAATATTCCATCGTATCTTTGAGGGAAAAAAAAGACCTCTTGACTAAGGCATTGGAAAAATCGTACTACAGTAAAAACTTAACTTCTTCAGGAGGGGCATTTGATTTTGTCTGCCTCGTTGAGGTGAGTTTAAATGAGTAATTTCAGGATTGCAGAAATTGTCCAAAATCTTATGCAAATGCACTTACAAGCTATGTTTCAGTGTCAGTCAACAGCAACATAATTTAGCAGCTACTTTCTTTTTTTAATTAAAATAAGTTTCATAAAATGAGTCTGAATGCTGATACCATTGTTCTGTCTCATGAAGCTGAGAGTTGATTGTCGCTTGAATGCCAAACCTAGAGGAAGCCTGATCATTTAAATGTGTTGTTGGAAGTAGTATCCAGAATACTCAGATCACCCCTTAACCAGTAATTCATGCATCTTCGTGCAACAGTTACTGTGACTAATTAGAACATTTTAGTATTTTTAATGATGCGGAGGAGCAAGGGAGCCAGATTATGGGGTGAACCATTGTCCTATCATCCTGCAGCTCTTAATGTCAATAAGTGTTTTCAATGTTTGATTTGAGCCCAGTCCTTCTGTCAAATAATGTGCACACATCTATCAGAGATCCTGATCATATTCAGGAGCAGTAACCTCGGATGATTTGTTTCTTCTCCTTGAAAAGAGTATTAAAGAACAGGCATACTGTGGCATATCTTCTCTGGAGTGCTTCCCAAGGCCGGAAGTTGTACTAAATGCTGTCTGCTAAAATGCTTTGTCTAATCTACTGACCAGACAGTCGGGCTAGATACCAAAAAAGAGTTGCACCATTGAATTTGTTATATTAAGGGTGTACTATCAAAGTGATGCATCTGTGTACATCATAAATTGTGCTGTTTTGTCGAGGTGATGTACCTGAAATCTGTGGTATATTAGCTGTTTTGTCAAGGTGGTGTATCTGTGAACTGTGGTACAATATGGGCTGTTTTGTCAAGGTGTTGCACTTGAGCCCTCTGGTATTTTACAGGCTGCGCACCAGAGTTATATGTGGACCTTAAAACTGGGATTAGCATAATTTATATGTTTACTTTCTCTTACAGATTCTGCAAGAGCGAGGATCACGGATGTGATGTCAGTGTTCTGTATTGGCCTATCAAGAAATTTTAAGTTATTTTACTTTCTAGGGAAATGCAAGAGGGATCAGCCATGGTGTTGTTCGAAATCTGGTCTCTGACGTGAACATTTCTTGCAATAACTTTGAACCTTGATCTCCCTCTCTGCTTCCACTGTACAAAGACTGAGTTTTCTTACTGACTGAACATTTCAACAGTTTAGAAACCTTAATGCATCATAAAGACATCTGTATATCAAAGCATGTCTAGCTAGGGGCAACAGTATCACCTCAGTGATGGAGTACAACTGGCCAACAGCCTACTCTGGCACTATTTTGCTCTTTGGATTAAACCAATAAGTACCAATTTGTAAAAGAATTAGGTTAAAACAATTAATATTTTGCAAAAAAGCCTGGAACCTGAAGTGAGTATAAAGCTGAGGTAACAGTTTATTGATTACAGAGTAAAGGCTGTGTCATATTCAACAGATGCGCTTCCACGCTTCCACTTGGCTTTGATTAAGTTAATTTCTTCAGAAATGGTATGTAGGCAGCAGGAGGAAGCACACCCATTGACTAGGTAATTACCTCTCACTGTACTTCGAAATCAGCTGCTTCAGTTTGCTGGATGTTCTGTGGATGCTGGAGAAGGACCCAACCAGTTCCAACTTACGTTTGGTGTTTTATTAAGCAAGTTAGTCATTGGTGTCTACTGAAAGCAGTTTGTATTGAAGATCATTGGGAAAACATACAATGAACTGTCAAATTCTGACAGAATATTTTTAAACTGTTTGCATGGTGTAATGCTTTTTATTTTAATAATTGCTGCTTTCAACACCTGAGAAATGGTTTGTATGCTTTTGGATTCCCACATATATATATTTTTAGGGTTCTTGTGTATTATTAAAGAACTATAGTTCAAGCTGTTAAGTCTTTCCAGTATGTTTTAAACCTTTATATATAAAAAAAAAACTTGCTGAAGCCAACGCTTGGACTTCTTGCAGTTTTAGCTGTTTTCAGAACAACATTTCATCAATGTGCTCATTTCCCATTGTTGTAACTACTGATATCTATTTCTCTTTTTGGTATATTTCACTGTTTCTTCAGGGACATTGTCCGTGTTTGGCTATTTAAACAAAAATCACCTCAACAAAACAATTTAGCTGGAAGACCGTTTAAATTGAGCTGTTTATGCTGAATAGGAAACTCCTTTTCCCAATTCAGTCGGAGAGTTTAAGGGTTCTGAATCTCTCTCCTTTCATAAAAGTCAATTTTTCTTTCTCTTTTGGTCTTTTAATCATACATGGAAAATATCTGTGGTGTCTGTTAATATTCACACCCTCTGTAAAGCCTAACGCCTTAACCCTTAACATATCCTCAACTAGGGTGACAGTATGGGCCCTGCAAGTAATGTCCACATTCCTGATTAAGGGATGTAGAATCAGTCAAAATTCCTCCTATGATGCACTATCCATTGACTCCAGCTGGAATGTACATGAATGGGAAACAGAAATGAGAACAGGTTTTATTTCAGCTGTAGCCACATTTCATCGTGAAATTGTCTCCTTTAACACTCTGCCTGTAAACTTAGAAAATAAAATTAGACATCTGGGTGTCAGTGGTATCTATGGAGTCTAGCAACCAAAATAATAGCAAAGCTCCCCTGCGTTGTACTTGTATGGGCTGAACCAACAGCATTTATATGTTCATCCCCACACAGAATTTCCCATGTTTACACAGATCCACACACCATTTCTTCTACAGTTTACATAGCCCAATACACTCTTATCCTTGTGTTTATCCAGTCTCTCATACTATTTCACCTTGTGTTTACGCCAGTCCATGCACTGCTTTCCCTTGTGTTTACGCCAGTCCATGCACTGCTTTTCATTGTTGAAGCAACACAGTCCCATGTACTTCCCTTGTATTTACACAGTCCACAGAATGCCTTCCTCTGTGTTTACATGGACCTATGCATTGCCTTTCCCTTGCACTTGCACAGGCCCATGCAATTTTCTCTTATGCTTACATAGTCTGCTGTTATAAACATGAAGATTAGGGGAATTAAACATATTTAAAATTATATTGAACAGAACAAGATTGAAAACTGACTTTATTTCATTGTTAATATAAGATTCCATTTGGGAGATTTAGAACAAATATCAAGAAAAACTGAGTTGAGGCTGTAGAATTCACTTTCAGGATTAGTGGTTACTGTCAAATATTTCAGAATAACTTGGATTGAGAGATGGAGGAGAAAGGGAGGAGGAATATAGAGAAGGGTGAGTAAATGTGTTTACTTCCACATGAGCAAAAGGTCACTTATATATTTGCTGGATTGAATGGTCTGATTGTGTTGTAAGTTTAATGTATTTCTGTATATGTTTGTAGTTGGTGTATAATTGGTTAACATCATTGTTCTGATTTGTTTGTAGTAGGAGAAAGGAATTTAATAATATTGAATTTATAGCTTCTAAACTTTCCTTTGACTAGTCTACAACTGACCCATGCAGCCACCCCAGGTTTGTCACCTGAACTGCACAAATGTTAACGAGTCCGAGCCAGGAAGGCATTTGTGGGCCAAATTAGCCCCAGCACTTGGACTAAAAATGAATATGTCTCCTGGAGTTCCTGTTTCTGACCATTGTCGATTGGCGGTGCCTATGTCAAAAAAAACTTGCCAACACTTGTAGATGAAGACAGACCATTGGGATGAGGTATTTGTCTGATACCTTTGAAATTGCACATCAGCATGTGGCTAATGCCATCAGTACATTAGAACAGAAAAATTATATCTTAGTGGTTACACTTCAGGTCAAGGCCATGAACAGCACAACATCTGATCACTAAGTCCAGAAATAGAGGCAATGAGACAGAATCTTTTAAGGTCTGTACTTATGTTCTAGGAGAGTCTGGTCCTTATTGACAATTATAAAAAGTTAATTTTGGGAATTTATTCCACACACATTTGTCAAAGCATGCTTATTTAGATTCCTAAGAGAAGGTTTTGGGAAGTGTTGTCAATTGAGCTGTGTATTTCTGTTCATTCTTCCAAAACTTATTCAATTTTTTCTGTGATAAATCTGCAAAACCTGAAAGTTGTTTTTTGTAAATTGTTGCGTTGGTTGAACACAATAAAAGCCAGTCCCTCACTGAGTGCAGTGATCTAAGACTTGTGTACACCGTTTGATCATGTTGAAATGCCCCAAATCCCCCTCTCTCAATTCTGCAATTACCTTTCTATTCCTGCTTCCCATACCCAACGAGAAGACAGTGAACGTGGCTTGAATTTTATATCATCTGAAGCATTGCAGTGTCTGAATTAAGCCTAACCCCACAATATTTCTCAGTCAGTGATAGAAGAGTTACTAAGAGCATCAAGTCAGCAGTGCCTATAGTTGCTGAAGTAAATTTGGCCTGGCAAGATGATTTAAGTCTGACTGACAGCTTTGATATGATGTGGGAAAAATGTGACGTTATGCTTTTTGTGTAAGAAGAATATTGTTTAAATAGGGAAAGACTTCAGAAAGCTCCACCACAGAAGATTTAGGAACACTTGTGCATCAATCACAAAAAGCTACCATACAAGTTGAATTAATAAGTAAGACAAATGGAATGAAATATAAGAATAGGGAGGTCTTGCTAAAAACTATACAAGGCACTAGTCAGACCACAGCTGGAAAACTCAACAGTTTTGGGTCTCTTATCTAAGGAGAGAGATGCTGGCATTGGAGACAGTTCAGAGAAGGTGCACTAGGTTGTTCCCAAGTATGGAAATATTCTTATGAGGAGGAGTTGATTAGGATGGGTCTGTACTTATTGTAATTTAGTGGAAGGGAGGTGACTTAATTGAAACAAACAAGATTGTTAGGGGACTTGACAATTTGTGTACGGAATGGTTGTTCCCCATTGTGTGAAAGTCTCAGACAAGACAGCATAATCTCAGAGTAAGTGGTTGCCCGTTCAACAAAGATGAGAAATTCTTTCTCTGAGGGTAATTAAAGTCTCCACCCCAGAGGATGAAGAGGCTAGGTTGTTAAGTATATTCAAGATAGTAGGAACTGCAGATGCTGGAGAATCTGACATAACAAGGTGTAGAGCTGGATGAACACAGCAGGCCGAGGAGCAGGAAAGCTGACGTTTCGGGCCTAGACCCTTCTTCAGAAATGGGGGAGGGGAAGGGGGTTCTGAAATAAATAGGGAGAGAGGGGGAGGTGGATAGAGGAGAAGATAGGTGGAGAGAAGACAGACACGTCAAAGAGGCGGGGATGGAGCCAGTAAAGGTGAGTGTAGGTGGGGAGTTAGGGAGGGGATAGGTCAGTCCAGGGAGGACAGACAGGTCAAGAGGGTGGGATGAGGCTAGTAGGTAGGAGATGGGGGTGGGGCTTGAGGTGGGAGGAGGGGATAGGTGAGAGAGACGGGGACAAGCTGGGCTGGTTTTGGGATGCAGTCGGGGGAGGGGAGATTTTGAAGCTTGTGAAGTCCGCATTGATACCATTGGGCTGCAGGATTCCCAAGCGGAATATGAGGTGCTGTTCCTGCAACCTTCGGGTGGTATTGTTGTGGCACTGCAGGAGGCCCAGGATGGACATGTCATCTGAGGAATGGGAGGGGGAGTTGAAATGGCTCTTCTAAGGATGCCTACCTTGAAGAAGTTACCCTCCTCCCTCCGGAAAGACCTCAGTGGATCTCTCTCCCACTGCAACTCTCTTGTTATCTCTTCGGCCCTGAAACTGCTCGACCACGTCCTGAAGCAAACCAGGTACTACAGCCACATTACCTTTCTTAGTACCTGCCTACAGAACCGGATCATCCCCAATGGACGACAGTCCATATTTAGGCCCTCCCAATTTGGCCCCATCCGCGACAATGTCTACATTCAGAACGTTGAGATCCTTCAAAAACATTTCTCCCTGCGACTCCTGAAACACACATTCGCAGCAATGCGCTGGCATCTCCTGGCACTACAATCAAGCCTACCCCAGCTCAGAGCCTCCCTCTCCCAGACTTGCAAAGGACCTCTCCAGTTTTTTATTCTTTGTAGGATCCACAACCTGAACTCTCAATTCTACTCAGCTTTATTGGACACTAAAAACTGTAAGTACACTAAACTTACTGGTGCCTGCCACCCAAAACGGGCTTCCTCCACCCCCCAAATCCCCAACCCTACCCAGGACCTTCCCCACAATGTGCCTGCCGCCATTGGCCATTTGGCCACTGTCGGAGCACCCATGGATGACATCACATCCGCTGCCGCCACCACTTCCGGGACAGCAAACACCATCGACACCGCTGCTGATGCCACTGCCTCCATTTCCGAGGCCAACACCACAGACACTGAGGACGCACCTGCCGACACCGCTGCTGCCGCCTCCTACCCCGCTCTGCACACCACCGACGCAACTCCGCCCAACGCTGACATCACTCCGCCCACTGCCGCCGACACTGACGTCACTCCGTCCACTGACGCCAACATAGCTCCGCCGACGTCGCTCCGCCCACCGCCTCCACAGCCAGCAGCTCCGGAGAAGCCAATAGCACCCAGCCCTGCCGAGTCTTTACCATCCCCCCCAGACCTACCCCTTACTGAGGACGAATGGTCAGTCCTCAGTAAAGGGCTCACCTTTGTCCCCCTCCACCCACACATCAACGAATACCGCTCATGCTTGGATGTTGAACAGTTTTTCCGCCGCCTCCGCCTCCACGCTGACTACTTTAACCGTGAGCCTAACCCTCCCCCTACTGACCCCTTCTCCTGGACACCATCCCAAGGCCTCCTACCCTCCCTCAACCTCTTCATCTTCAACTGCCATCGTGACATCAATCGCCTCAACCTCTCCACCCCTCTCACCCACTCCAACCTCTCCCCCACGGAACATGCAGCCCTCTGCTCCAATCCCAACCTCACCATAAAACCCGCGGACAAGCGAGGCGCAGTTGTATGGCGCACTGACCTCTACGTCGCCGAGGCCAGGTGCCGACCCTCCGACACGTTCTCCTACCGCCCCCTTGATCATGACCCCACCCCCCGACCACCAAACCATCATCTCCCAAACCATCCACAACCTCATCACCTCAGGTGACCTCCCACGCACAGCCTCCAACCTCATCGTTCCCCAACCCCGCACCGCCCGGTTCTATCTCCTTCCCAAAATCCACAAACCTGACTGCCCTGGTCGATCCATTGTCTCCGCCTGCTCCTGCCCCACCAAACTTACCTCCACCTATCTCGACTCCATTTTCTCCCCCTTGGTCCAGGAACTCCCTACCTACGTCCGTGACACCACCCACACCCTCCACCTCCTCCAAAACTTCTGATTCCCTGGTCCCCAACACCTCATCTTTACCATGGACGTCCAGTCCCTATACACCTGCGTTCCCCATGCAGATGGCCTAAAGGCCCTCCGCTTCTTCCTGTCCCGCAGGCCCGACCAGTCCGCCTCCACTGACACCCTCAACCGCTTAGCCAAACTCGTCCTCGCCCTCAACAACTTCTCTTTCAATTCCTCCCACTTCCTACAGGCAAAGGGGGTGGCCATGGGTACCCGCATGGGCCCAAGTTATGCCTGCCTCTTTGTAGGTTACGTGGAACAATCCCTCTTCCGTAGCTACACTGGCCCTAAACCCCACCTCTTCCTCCGTTACATTGATGACTGAATCGGCGCCACCTCGTGCTCTCACGAGGAGCTCGAACGGTTCATCCACTTCACCAACACCTTCCACCCCAACCTTAAGTTCACCTGGACCATCTCTAATACCTCTCTCTCCTTCCTGGACCCCTCTGTTTCCATCTCTGGTAACCACCTGGAAACCGATATCCATTTCAAGCCCACCGACTCCCACAGCTACGTAGAAATCACCTCCTCCCACCTACGTTCCTGCTAAAATGCCATCCCCTATTCCCAATTCCTTCGCCTCCGCCACATCTGCTCCCAGGATGAGGCATTCCACTCCCAAACATCTCAGATGTCCTCATTTTTCAAGGACCGCAACTTCCCCCCCTCAGTGGTCGAGAACGCCCTCGACCGCGTCTCCTGCATTTCCCGCAACTCATCTGTCACACCCCTTCCCCACAATAATAACCAAAACAGAATCCCCCTCATCCTTACGTACCACCCCACCAACCTCTGGATCCAACGCATCATTCTCCGACACTTCCGCCATCTGCAATCCGACCCCACCACCAAAGACATTTTTCCCTCCCCACCCTTATCTGCTTTCCGGAGGGACCACTCTCTCCAGGACTCCCTTGTCCGCTCCACACTCCCCTCCAGCCCCACCACACCTGGCACTTTTCCCTGCAACCGCAGGAAGTGCTACACCTGCCCCCACACCTCCACTCTCACCCCCATACCAGGCCCCAAGAAGACTTTCCACATCAAACGGATGTTCACCTGCACATCTGCTAATGTGGTATACTGTATCCGCTGTTCCCGTTGTGGCCTCTTCTACATCGGGGAAACCAAGCGGAGGCTTGGGGACCGCTTTGCGGAACACCTACGCTCGGTTCACACTAAACAACTGCACCTCCCAGTTGCGAACCATTTCAACTCCCCCTCCCATTCCTCAGATGACATGTCCATCCTGGGCCTCCTGCAGTGCCACAACAATGCCACCCGAAGGTTGCAGGAACAGCACCTCATATTCCACTTGGGGACCCTGCAGCCCAATGGTATCAATGTGGACTTCAAAGCTTCAAAATCTCCCCTCCCCCGACCGCATCCCAAAACCAGCCCAGTTTGTCCCCGCCTCTCTAACCTGTCCTTCCTCCCACCTTCAAGCCCCACCCCCATCTCCTACCTACTAGCCTCATCCCGCCCCCTTGACCTGTCCGTCCTCCCTGGACTGACCTATCCCCTCCCTAACTCCCCACCTACACTCACCTTTACTGGCTCCATCCCCACCTCTTTGACCTATCTGTCTCCTCTCCACCTAGCTTCTCCTCTATCCATCTTCTATCTGCCTCCCCCTCTCTCCCTATTTATTTCAGAATCCCCTTCCCCCGTTTTCTCACCCTCCCCCCCATTTTTGAAGAACGGTCTAGGCCCGAAACCTCGGCTTTCCTGCTCCTCTGATGCTGCTTGGCTTGCTGTGTTCATCCAGCTCTACACCTTGTTATCTAAGTATATTCAAGGCTGAGATAGACAGATTAAAAATCAGGGGAATCCAGGGTTTTGACGAAAAGGCAGGAAAGTGGAGTTAAGGATAATCAGATCAGCTATGATTTCATTGAATTGCACAGCAGCTTTGGTGGGCAGAATGGCCTATTTATGCTCTTACACCTTACAGTCTTCTGAATTAATTGAGTGGTGGGTGTAATGCCTGAGAAGCAGCCATTCTCTCCTTTTAAGACACTCAGTGAAAGCAAGAACTGCAGATGCTGGAGTTGAGTCGATACAGTGTGGAGCTGGAGGAACACAGTAGATCGGGCAGCAGGAGAGTCAACGCTACGGGCCTAGACCCTTCAGGACTGGTGAAGGGCCTGGGCCCAAAATGTCAACTCTCTTGCTCCTCTGATGCTGCCTGACCTCCTATGATCCTCCAGCTCCACACTGTATTGACTCTCCTTTTAAGAGACTAAGTTAAGGAACAGCTCTGGCTGCAATGGTTTTCACATTTGCTGAGCCTCCAAATATTGTCTCTCCTGACTGTTGGAGGACAGTAACATAGTGAGAGAGAAAAGGGAAGAAGGTTAAAGGGAGTAATTTGGGTTTATATCCCAGAGTTGGCTCCACATTTCTGTCTAGGATTTAATTAGGCTCCTAAACTACTCCCAGATATATTTGGTGTCCAGTTCGCAATTCTTACATTCCTGTGAGAATGTGAAGGAAAGTGAGGATTGCAGAAAGTTCACATCTTGATTCGGTACAGACTTGTGCAGTATTGAAACACAGCAGGTCGGGCTAAATTCAAAAGTGATGCCACAGCAGAGAAGGCAATTCACCTAGACTGGCATGCAGACCGTGTATTCCTGTGGATGTTATTTTTCTTGAATTTTTGATGTGGATCAACATCTGTCAGCCTACCTTCCTAATCTATCTAAATCCTGTGTTTTTATTTACTGTTTCCCTTTTAATTGATTGACCCTAATTGAACAATCAATTTAGGATTATTATACAGTTCCAGATTGAGCAATGTGTTGATTGTCTTGTGTTATGGTCACTCCATGAATCTCTAATACCTAATCCTACTACACCATGGAGCATCTCTGGTAGAAGTGGCTTTAATTACAGTATTTGAAAAGACATTTGACAAGTACATGGATAGGAAAGGTTTAGAGGGATATGGGCCAAATGCAGGCAAATGGGACGAGATCAGTTCAGGGCAGCTGGTTGGCATGGATAAATTGAGCCAAAGGGCCTGTTTCTGTGCTGTACGACTGTCTCCTATATGACACTGTCGAAAGTTTTGCTGAAGTTCAAATGTAATATGTTAATATGGAGCCTTATCCACCTGTCCTGTCACTTGCCTTCAAGAATTTTCCTAAATCCGTTATGTGCACTTACAAAAAATATGGAATTTTAAGTGGTTCTTCACTCTTCCTTCAAGATCCTGTTGTTACCAGGATCGTACTAAAGCCCTATTTATAGTTGTACATTGACCCTATCTTCCTTCATTCACGTGTCCAAGGCTGCTGGTCACTTGACGTTTCAGTTCTTCCGGACATGGGGGACTTGAACTTTGGCCGTTTATCACCTTATTAAACTTGGAATTTCTCACCTGCTTAACGTTCACGCAGACCAGGAATTCGAACTGCTTCCTTGAATCGCGAAGGTGAAATGACGTGGAAGAACAGCCACATCTTCAGAATAAAGTGTCTGGTTATAATGCATATGTTTACAAAATTCTTCCCTTGTTTCCTATTCCTGGCAACTTGTGAGGGATCTATTGCTATTCCTAGCCCTCTGGTACTCTGCATAGGTAATTTTCTAATATGCAATCGGACAGTGAATCTGATTACGGTTCAAACAGGAGTAGCAGCATGGTCCTTATCTAAATATTAAAGCTTCAGCATCTTTACTCGTCTGCCCTCCGGTGGCCCTCAGAAGTATACCTCAGCCCAGAGCTCTCAAATGTAACTGCACAACTACAATTTAAATCAAATTCTAAGCTATATCTTGTCAATTTAAGAAAAACTTTAATGATAAACATTTCCTTTGAACGGCTGCTGAGCTGAGATTTGAGAAAACAAGGTGATCTTGCATTTCTACAGTACTTTATATGATCTCAGGATGTTCCAAAGTGCTTCACAGCCAATGAGGTACTGTTGTAATGTGGCAGCTGTTCAGTGGAAAGCTAAGCATACATCTGTCAACACTGCAGGCATTCATTTTTAAAACTCCTAATGTTTTACTAAGGCAGATGAATGGATAACGCAAAGGAGACAGAGGGAAGGACGACCAGAAAGATTACTGAATGGTTTTAAGGACAGGGAAAGGAAGTGTACAGATCATAATTGGAGCAGTTTAGATTATTTGCCCCATCAAGTCTGCTGTGCCATTAAGAACGAACATTTGCTGATCTGTTGTGGCTTTAAATTCACGTCCTGCCTGAAACTCATAACCCATGACATTCAAAGGCCTAACTCAATATATTCAACAGTAAAGCCTGCACTGCTGTATCTGGGAACTAATTTCAAAGTTTAACGACCCTCTTTCAGAAGAAATTCTTCCTCATCTTGTCCAGTTCAGAATTACAGCAGAAAGCATTAGTGTACTTTCGGTGCTGGAACCCTGAAGGAAAATAGAAACTGATACGTTAAGGAAAAGGTGAGGTCAGGTCGGGATTTAAACAGATGGGGATTTAAATGTAAATACTAAATAAAAACCGAAAGAACTGCAGATCCTGTAAATCAGGAACAAAACCAAAGTTGCTGGAAAAGCTGAGCAGGTCTGGCAGCATCTGTGAAGAAAAAATCAGAGTTAACGTTTCGGATCCGGTGACCCTTCTGTGGATGCTTTATTGGCATTAGCGCTGTAGGTCATGGTATTCCTGGTGCGATGGATTGGGATAGAATATACAATGTTGTGTCAACTGAAAGTTGATGTTCCTATATGTTACTGTACGCTTTCGTGCTGGGTTCGCCAGTGCAGGAAAACGGGCCTGACGGACGTCTTTAAAATTGACAGTTCTGATGTGGAGAAGCTGTTTCCACTTGAGATTTCAGAACAAGGCAGTATGAAGTTAACGCATCTAATGACGAATTTAAGTGTCTTTGTAGATCCCGGGGACAAAAACTAGAAACCGGATCGCAACAAGGGCAGTGTACTCTGGTCTTTGCACCAGTGAGACTAGTCCTAACACCAGGAAACACTCGCTATGGCACAGTTCTGCAGCACAAAGTTTTATGTGCTGCCATATTGCAGTTGCTGCCCTGACAGATTCTCCAATGAGATTTTTATCTGGCAATAGCAGGAGGAGGAAAGGGAGCTCGCTGATTGCTGTTTATGAGATGCGACTACACGTGGGAGCAGGGTGGGCAAAGGTAAAATGCGAGTTCGCTCGTGTGGAGACAAAAACGGGCACAAATCCCTTGAACCGAATGCCTCTTCCTATCGCTGCAGTCTAAGAAACAAATATCTCAGAAATATGTCAGATTGCACAAAATGAATTAATTCAAGTCCGTTCCTGAATGGCCACCAAGTCGGGCTGGTAATGCCTGTGTCCTCAACCCACTAGACACAAAGGGTGCGAGGTGGAATTAGCAAGCTCTGGGCCAAACTGGGGTATGAGACATTGAACAACTGGTTCCAGAATAGCTGGGAGTCTACCTGTGCACAGCAAGATTCCAGAAACTAACCGAAAATAAAACCGAAAGGACTGCAGATGCTGTAAATCAGAAACAAAAACAGAAGTTTCTGGAAAAGCTCAGCAGGTCTGGCAGCATCTGTGAAGAAAAATTCAGAGTTCACATTTCGGGTCCAGTGACCCTTCCTCTGAACTCACCGGACCCGAAACGTTAACTCCGATTTATTTCCCCTCGCAGATGCGGAGCTTTTCCAACAACTTCTGCTCGTGTCCCTGAAACTAACCGTTAGCTTCAGAAAGGAAAGCTGGGGTCGGAGGTGACGATTGTGCCGACTTGCGCCATGCCTGTATGATATTGTTTGGGTAGGACTGGGCCTTTCATTCTTCGTTTCCTGTGCAGCTGCAGATCTACACAGATCAGGCTGTACCGGCAGCGGGGAAAGCACACGGTTCCGATACCACCCCGCCATCCCCCAAGAGCAGCCATTTAACTCTGAGCAGGCACCGCGCTGGCCATCTCCCCACGGGGTCCTTCGGGTCTGTCTGAAGTGAGTCTGGAGCCGGGCAAACCGGACCCGGCGGGAAGGACAACAACAACAAGAGGTATATCTCCGGGGCAGGGATACATGCGGGACTTGAAGCGGGGCAAGAGACGGAGAATGAGAGGTGGTGGAGTGAGATGGGGGAGGGGAGAGGTGTACCGAGGAGTTGGGGGTGGGTAAGGCAGAGGTACACCTTAGAGCAGGTCAGGCGGAAGAAAGTGTTAAGCTCCCGGGAGTGGGAAGTGAGAGCTAACATCGGCTGGATGTCTGTGGGGTTGGAACAGGTGACACCTGAGGTGTACGGGTTGTTGGGTTTGGTGGGACAGTATGTAACGCGGGGCTCCGGATCGTGGGTAAAAGCGGGTAACATGGGCTGGGTTAAGCAGAATAATAGACAATACCCAGGGGTGGGCGCACAACTGATGGCACCAAGATCCCTTGTAGAGGACACCAAGTAAACCCTGGCCCTGAGCCCTACTCCCAGCCTAGGGAGGAAGTGGGGTGACAACAGGTAAAACCTTGCTCCTAGCCTCAGGCACTGTTGGGGAGCACACTGACGCCAACCTGAGCTGTAGGCTTGCCCCTGCAGAGACTCATTAAAGTTTACCATCGTTGGGTATTGGTTACAGTCTTGTCTCAGTGTCTCTTGAGTGTGTGGGCCCAGGTGCCTCTGACTGTTTCCCTGCTGTCTGTAACTGGAATCCATTTAGATTTTGTTTATGAACAATAACTTGCTGGATATTAAACAGTGGAGTCATTGCAGTCTGGTAGCTTCCATGATTACTTACATTTCTGTGGCGCTGAAGCCAGTTTTACTGAACTTAACCTGGATGTGATAACTGCAGCCAGATCTGTAGCTTCTAGTCCTGGCAATGGGCAGCAGTTTTTGCTCATCTCTAATTGCGACCTTGAATTCAACTGATTGGTTGCTAGGTCACTTCCAGGCAGTTAGGGACAGCTATTTTGTGGGTTCGCAATCACATATAGGTTCAACTAGGTAAAGACTTCATATGTATTTCCAAGCAGCACCACATTGCACATATGGAAAGTATTTTTAATGCAATCTTGGGATGTGTGCATTTTTGGCATTTATTGCCCATCCCTAGTTGCCATTGAAAAGGTAATGGTGAGCTGTGTTCTTCACCCACTGCGGGTAGACACACAATGCCATTAAGAGGGAATTCCAAGATTTTGACCTAACACAGAGGAAGGGTGGTATGTTTCTAAATCAAGATGGTGAGTGACTTTAAGCAGAACTTGCAGGTATGATGTTCCCATGTGTCTACTGCCCTTGTCCTTCTCGACAAAAGTAATCATGGGTTTGAAAGATGTTGTCTAAGGAGCTTTGCAATACACTTTGTAGTTAGTACACACTGCTGCTGCTGAGCATTGGTGGAGGGATTGGATATTTGTGGATGTGGTGCCAGTCCAGTGGGTTGCTTTGTCCTAGATGGTGCCAAGCTTCTGGAGTATTGTTGGAGTTGCACTCGTCCAGGCAGGTGGACAGTATTCCAGAACACTCCTGACTTGTGCTTTGTAGAAGATGAACAGGCTTTTGGGAGACATTTACTTGCTACTGGCAACGTTTCGGTGAGTTATTTACTGCAGAATTCCAAGCCTCTGACTTACTGTTGTAGCCACTGTATTTATACGACTAGTCTAGTTCAGTTTCTGGTCAGTGGTCATCCCCAAGATGTTGATAATGGGGATTCAGTGATGGTAATTCAATTGAATGTCAAGGGCTAGTGGTTAGACTCTCTCTTATTAGAGGTAGTCATTGCATGGCTTTTTTGTGGCCCGTGTGTTATTTTGCATCTGCACAATTTGTGAAACACCCTGACAGTTTTAAAACAAAACATGGTTGCACCCAAATCAGCACAATAAATATGAGCAAACAGGATAGAATGACATGACTGGCAAGGATACTACTCATGTGCAATTTGCACATACATATTGAGAGTGATTTTAGGGAGTCAACAGACATAATCTTCTCCTTCCCCAAAAGATTTTAATGAACTAGACATGGTTTTACAAAAATCTTGTAGCTTGATGATCAGTATCATTTTCAGCTGTTGTGATTGGGTTTAATCTCCAGGCCCTGGATTACTTTTACCTTTTTATTAATTCCAGTCTAGGAGCACAGGTCCCAAGTAAATACTGACAAAGAGCTAATATCACAGATCATCTTAACAATAAAGAACTGCAGATGAAGAAACCAAAATAGAAATTGCTGGAAAAATTCAGCAGGTTTGACAGCATCTGTGGAGAGAGAGCAGAATTAATGTGTCAGTCCAGTGGCCCTTCTGTTCTCAAGAAGCATCACTGGATTTGACATGTTATCTCTGCTTTATCTCTACAGGTACTGCGAGACCTACTAAGCTTTTTCCAGCAATTTCTGTTTTTGCTACAAGTCATCCAGATGGGTTGAATGGTTAATTTGATTGACTAAATTCATCTGACAGTGAGATGAGCATAGTTCAGTAATTTTCTGGAAATTCTGCTCAACTGAGGCTGAAGGCTATTACAAAGCTAACAGACTATGGTTTAACCAGATAGGACCTGCAACAGAATGTAATTGGGACTTATCAGGAGCCCTTGTGTGGCTGTGAAACTTTTTGTCAGGAAACCAGTCACCAGTTGGGGTATTTCTTTCTATAACAATGGTCACTGATGGATTTTTGTTTTCCCTGCAGTTCTTGCTTCTTTCTGTGGCCTCAGGCAGTCTCCTGTGAGCATTTGAAAGTTGGTATGCTGGAGGAAGTTGTCACAGCCTAGCCTTGCCCAAGTCTCTGAAATCTATCAATGGCACAATATAATTGAGGGCACACAGGGTAGGACATGTCCAAGTATGAGATCCTACAATATTTATGCTGATGACCCAGATGGCTGTCTGACAGGTTCCTGCTGATCATCTTCATAAACTTTATATAACATTGTATAAAATGCTTCAACATAGAAACCTTGCTTTCATCTGTAATGTAGGTAAAGTGTATGTATTTGCTGCTTATGGCCAGCTTTTCTCTCTGTTCCTAAGGGCTGAAAAGATGTCGGGGATTGCCTTGAATCGTCTCTCACAGGAAAGAAAGGCATGGAGGAAAGACCATCCATTCGTATGTATATTTATGGGGTTACTGCTCACTAGGCTAGTGGGCTGGAAATCCAGAGTCGTCACAAAAATTAAAGATTTGCAAAGATACGCGGAGTTTCCAATTTACCTGTCCCGGGTTGACAGAGAAATGAAGTCTGTGTTTTCGATTTAACAAGAATGACATTATTTATTTATTACAAGTAAATAGTTTCTAACTACAGATAAACAGTTATGAGCCACTGACACAAAATTCAACTAGTTAAAACTCTAACCGTCTTGTAAACTACCCCACTATGCACACGTACAGACAGGAAACAAAACGTGAGTGTGATGGGAAGAGGGAACGATTTGGAAGGCAATTAAATGGTTCCTTTTCGTAGAGATAGACCTTTTGGCTTGTCAGAATACCCTTCTATTTGATTCTTCTTCTCCAGATACTTTCACCTGCTTGCAGAAAGTACAAGGTGGCTGATTCACACTTACAAAGTCTCTAACTTACCGGTTAAGAGTCAGAGCCTATAGCAACTGATGAGGGGAAAAATGGCTGTGACTTGAGATGATTTTTACTGCAGCGCAAAAGCAGCTTCTTTTCCACCAGAGGTTTGATGGTTTCTGCCAAAACGTTTGCACCCCAAGTTGTTCAGCTACTTGGGAGCCAATCACATAGAGTTGACAGACAGAAGGCCTTTGTCATCAATAACTCCTCACTATTCACAGACCAATCTTGTTGACAGGCAAAGCTCTATTTGTGCACATCCCTTGGTTGCAGCTTGTCTGCAAACCAGGCTTCCACTACTGCTTGAACAGAAGCTGTGTAAACAGTACTTACAATGAGTGTCAGGTTGCTTTTAAAATGTGGAGCAACCCTACAAATCGGTCTACAATCAAGAATACAAAAAAATAAAAAGATATGTTCTTTGCAAAGACGCAGTACATTCTGACGTGACTGGCAAGGATACTGCTCATGTGCATTTTGCACATACATACTGAGAGTGTTTTTAGGGGTGCCAGCAGACATAACAAAATGTTTTTCATCTTCCCCAAAAGACTTTAAGGAACTATACATGGTTCTACAAAAATGCCATAGCTTGATCACTATTGCTGGGACCAACTTTACTTAATTAACTGAATTTAAGTTTTCAGCTGTTGTGATTTTGGTCTTTACAAAGACATGGCACATTCTGACAGTGATTAATTTCTGCCCCATAACACTTGATATAGGTTTACTTTTACAATCGCAAATCTTTTGTGTGAGAAGGATAAAAGACCTTTGAATTCATACAGAGTGCAATCACACGGTGTTAATGTTACTGAACGAATCATTCAGAGGCTCAGGCTTGTTCTCCAAAGGTATGAGCTAAAATCCCATCAGGGCAGCTGGAGAAATTTTAAATTTAATTAATTAATAATCTGTAATCAACCTGCGCCATGTGGACTGTGGTGTTTCAAGAAGATTACCCTCCACCATCTTCACAGGAATTGGGAATGGACAACAAATACTGCTTTTGCCAGTGACAGTTAAATTCCAAGAATGAATACAGAATATAAAGAGAAACACCTTAAGAATTTCCTAGAGTGGCTCACAGTCAAAAACTTTCTTGAGATGCGTTTAGGAGGGGTGGGTGTAAAGATATAAGTATCAGTATCATGCACCCTCGTACACAAATATTTGACAGGTCAGAGGCGGTGAGTGGTAATCAACGGGTCATTGTTCTTGTGTGTGAATGAGCTGGTATTTGAGGGGCCATCTGTGGTACATAAAACCAAAAGATATTTGATGGGGCTCTGTTCATAGTATTACCATGCTTTGAACATTCTAATACTTTTTGATTGTTCTGTAGGGATTTGTGGCTGTGCCTGTGAAGAATCCAGACGGCACAATGAACCTGATGAATTGGGAATGTGCTATTCCAGGCAAAAAAGGGGTGAGTAGACTGTCTGAAACTGCATTGCTCATAATCATTTCAGTCAATTTTGATGTAAATCTACTTTGTCTTTCACTCCAACAGACAACTTGGGAAGGAGGCTTATTTAAACTGCGGGTGCTTTTTAAGGATGACTATCCATCTTCACCACCAAAGTGTAAGTATCTACAATGGACAGGTATCTGTGTGTGAAAGGAAAAATATGAAGTATTGTGTTCTGGACACCTCATAAGTCAAGACCACCGGTTGTAGTGCACCTTGTGAAACAGTCACAATATATTAGTGTCATAGCATTATCTGGAGAAGTCCCATTTAAACGGTTAATGGTGTTGTATTTCAAACTTTTGTCTTTGTAACAGTGAGAATTTAGCTATTTGTTTTATTTGTCTGTAAGATTTATGTACCCTTGATAAGGCCAGAATTCATGCCTGAACCCTGATTGCACTTGAAAAGATTATGGTGAGCCACCTTATTGAACCATTGTATCCATGTGTTGTCGGTGCACCCATAATGCTATTACAGCAGGAATTCCAGGATCTTAACCTGTCAATACTGAAGGAACAGTGATCTATTTCCAAGTTGGTATAGTCTGTGACTTGATGGGAGCATGCATTTCGTAGTCCTATGCATTTGTTGGTGTGGTCCTTCTAAGTGTAATACAATGAGCTTAGAAGGAGACGTGACACTTTGCTGTAGTGCATCTTTTCATTGGACACACTATTGCTAGGTGTTTAGGCCCTTCTGCATGTAGGTATAAACTCGTTCAGTATTTGAGGAATCGTGAATGGTACTGTGCATCACAAGCATCATTGAACATCCCCACTTCTTGCCTTGTGTCAGAAAATCATTGAAGCAGCTGAGGATGTTTGCACCTAGAATGCAGTCATGGATGTAGAACTTCAGTTATATAGCTTTAAGAAATTGGGTTGTTCTCCACAGAGAAGATTAAAAGGAGACGAAATAGAAGTATTCAAAATTGTTAGGGCCTGGACAGTAGATTGTTTTTGCCCATTCTTATTGGTAGAAGAGTTGAGAACGATAGGAGCAAAAGCAGAAGTTGCTGGAAAAGCTCAGCAGGTCTGGCATCATCTGTAGAGAAAAATCAGAGTTAACATTTCTGGTCTGGCGACCCTTCGAACTGATGGCAGCTCAGAAAATGTCGGCTTATATGCAGAAGATAGGGTGCAGAGAGGGAGTAAGAATAATAGGTAAGGATAGAGCCCAAAAGAGAGAGAAGAACAGTGGGATAGACAAAGGAGTTGATAACGATCTGGCTAGGATGGTGAATAGCTGTTAATGGAGACAGTTAATGGCTAACGATAGGTAATGTATAATGGTAGACTGTGTGATAACAGGGCCTGGTGTGTGGGGTTGGGGGCTAGGACCTGGGAGAGCTCAGACCTAAAATTATTGAACTCAAACTCGATATGAATCTGGAGGGCTGCAGGGTCCCCAAGCGGAAAATGGAGTGTTGTTCTTCCAGCTTGCGCTGAGCTTTGCTGGAACACTGCAGCAAGCCTGAGACAGAGATGTTGGCCAGGGAACAGAGTGGTGTGTTAAAGTGGTAGGCAACTGGAAGCTCAGGGTCTTTTTTCCGGGCAGAAAGTAGATATTCTGCAAAGCGGTCACCCAGCCTACACTTCGTTTCCCCAACGTAGAGGAAACCACATTGTGAGCAGCGAATGCAGTAGACTAGATTGTGTGAAGTGCAAATAAAGTGTTGCTTCACACACTACCTGTTGTTAGCCATTAACAGCTATTCACCCTCCTCGCCAGATCATTATCTACTCCTTTGTCTGTCCCACTGTTCTTCTCTCCCTTTTTGGGTTCTGTCCTTACCTATCATTTACTCCTTACCCCCTCTCCCGACCCTATCTTCTGCATATAAACTGACATTTTCCTAGCTGCCATCAGTTCTGAGGAAGGGTCATCGGACCTGAAACATTAACTCTGATTTTTCTCCACAGATGCTGCAAAACCTGCTGAGTTTTTCCAGTAACTTCTGTTTTTGTTCCTGATTTACTGCGTCCGTAGTTCTTGCGGTTTTTACTGAGAACGATAGGACTCAATTGTAAGGAAATTATTTAAGGGAATTCGCAAAAGAAGTAATGAAAACAGGAGGACAACATTTTTCATATAGCACAGGCTTGGATTTGAAGTACACTGTCTGAGCGTGGAAGGGATTTAATCAACTTCAGAAGGGAATTGGATCATTATCTGAAAAGGAAAACTTTGGAGGATTATTGGAAGGTGGTCGGAGCAGGGGAATGGATTGTTCCTTCAGAGGGCCAACATGGACACAATGGGCTGTATGCCCATCTTTTGTGTTCTAACTATTCTATTACCCTAAGGAACTCCTGAAGTAGAGATCATTGACACGCAACAACCATAACCATCTTCCTTTGTTCTAGATATGACTATTTTGAAGTAAATGTCTCCAATAATGTCACTTTTGGATGATTTCAATTTGTAATTTTCAACACTGAATGAAACAGAAGACTGTACAACAGTGCAGTTCAGTGTTTAAGTGCATTGCATCTGAATGAACGCATCTGCAATGTGTGTATGAGTTCAGTAGTTGACCTGTGTATGCATGTGATCACCAGTCTGCTTTAGTTAAATTACTCTATCACTGCAATACTTTTCAAATTTTTCTGTTTGTTTCAGGCAAATTTGAGCCACCAATATTCCACCCGAATGTGTATCCGTCAGGAACTGTCTGTCTGTCAATTCTAGAAGCAGAGAAGGACTGGAGGCCAGCAATCACCATCAAACAGGTCAGCGTGATGTGAAGTAGGACATGCATTGGGTTTAATTGCAACTCCACAGAGAACATTCCCACTAATACTAACTGGGTAATTTAAAAGATCGATTTGTTTCCAACTGGTGGGATTGAGGGATTATGAAGGGCATTGAAGTGAGTCACCAGTCTAAATTCTGAGGTTTGAGATGGAGTGTGCATGTTTATGAAACCCTGCAATGCTATGGCAGATTATTTTCTCAAACCTCGATCTGTTGATCACAATGCAGTCCTCTCTTTTAAATGACTGGCATAGTTTAGGAATTTATTTTCCTCTTACAAGCTCTCCTTTATTCCCTGGGGTCAGTGTTCTTTTTGGTGCCGCACTGATGTCTTCCCAGGCAGATGTCCTCCATGTTAATGAAATATCTGCTTTTGGAGAAGGGTTGGAATAAGACCTACCATATATACTAATGTAAAAGTCAAATTTTGGGCCAGTTTTAAGGTCATGATTAAAGTTTTTGAGGGATTGAAATACATGTGTTTTGGCCCCTAAGAAAGGCTATTACAATGGAATAAAGTAAAAGCCAACAACTCTAAAGAATTAATATGAACTCTCTAACACTTATTATTTTACTGTAACATTTTATTACAATATAAACTAAATATACATTTGATGTACACCATAATAAATTCAGCACAAGCTCTTCACTTAAGTCCTTCTTACCACTTCCTGAATCACTGAACAATTCATCCCAGTAGCCTCACTGTAAAACAAAATCATATGGATCTTTCTCCTCTTTTTCATCATTTGTAGTACCAGGAACTTCAATCATCTTCAGCACCATCAAGCACATTCAATATCCCATATTTTAGAAGTTATTTTTGACAGTGTCTAGATCAAGTTCGTTCCATGCATCTATGACCTATTGTTACAATGTTTCTAGTCACAGCACTTCCATTTCATTTAGTAAATGTGTGTCATTTTTTTAACCTGCCATCTTCCAGTTGTTCCACATCTTTCAGGAAACTGACCTTGAGAGGTTTATTTGGGCACACATGTTCTTGGTATCAAATTCCATACTTTGATCCATTTCTTCCAAGCAACGTCATCCAACCAGCCTTTCTAATGAACATAAATGACCACACTTCTAAATTTTCTTATTGAAGAGTTTTTGAATATTGCCAGCTTTAATTTTGTACCATCCTGCACACCACTTAAAGTGGAACCACTTTAAACCAGTTTTCTTGTAGCCAGCCAACTTCACAAAGATTTTTTTGCCAGTATTTATTTTGTCTTATTAGCTGGCATGTCAATGTTCATCAGTCTTTCACTCATGTATCAATTGACCTCCATTGGAAATATGTTCTTCTCTTAACGTTGGATGACAAAACGATGCAATTTGATTTTTATCGCCAGTGTCAGTTGGCAGACCTTTTTATTTTCTGTGATAAATCATACCTTTTTATGGATCTTCTGAGTCACACCTTGAATTCTAAACTGTCATCTCTCTTAAATTCTGAGGACATACAGTTGGATCAGTCTGCAGCAGATGTGACCATTTTGCTGATGCTTTTTACCCATTCTGTCACTTTTTTCTCTCTAGTTTAAATTGAGCTTTGTACTTGCTATTCTTTCATGAAAGCATCCTGATAGATCATGCAGTACATATTAGTTCAATCAACTGGCTGGGAGGTTGCCACTAGAATTGGTGGAGGGAAAAATTTAAAGATTCCAGTATGTGTCTTTAAGTGAATGACCATAATAAGTATGGAAATCAGTTAAGAACATAAATGCAATCTGATCCCTGATAAACAAGGTAAATGAAAAATTACATTTTGTTTTAGGCCAATAGTCACAGAGTCAATATTTGTGCAAGTATATATGGTAATGGTGCCTTTGCTCAGCATGCATTTGCTAACTGGTGCCCCTGGATGGCGTTGAGGGGTTTTGGACTGTTCATATTGTCCTTTTCCCTGCCTATATTGTCTGTGCCTGTATTTCTGCCTTATTCCGACCAGCTAACAATATAAATCCAATGTCTTCCTGATCTGCATGGCTTTATATTGAAAGATGCTTCTTGAAAGAATATGGAGCTCTTCCAGTGTTGTGTTCAACTTTCCTCCTCGTAACAAGTAACTATTCACATGTAAAACGTTTTTCAGCTTCAGAGATGTGATCAGTTCTCTTTCCCTCAGGAGCTCCGAAAAACTCAGATGATAGATTTAGGAAAGTTAACTAACAGTAGTTAGCATTTCCCCTAGCTTCTAGAACCCTGATGTTCAAGAAGGAAACTTCAGGGTTTTATTTGTTTTTTTTTCTACATTGACATTTGACATTTTGAAGTGGTGCAGTATCTGGGCTGAGAGGTTTGCACAAAGTGTTTACACTTGGCTTCTTCATTTACTTTTATTGCCCTAGGTATTGTTAGGTATACAAGAACTTTTAAATGAACCAAACGTTCAGGACCCAGCTCAAGCAGAAGCCTACACAATCTACTGGTAAGCATCAGCTACATGTGTGTTTTCTTTAAGGGAGCAAAGACTTGATGTACAATTAGCTAGCAGCATTTCAGAATCTCGTACCTACACTAGTGTTTCATGTCTTGTGCTTGTTAATTCTATTGAAAAATCAACCACAGCATGCAGTTTAAGAACCCACACTTTTAAACCATGCTTAGCTGCTGCAGCAGAATATTCTAGTCACTCCACTGAACTGTCTGCAGTGAATATTCAGTCCATCCTTTCCCATTTATTCCAGTGTGAATGTAAAAGGCTTGTGTAAATGCAGAGTTGTTTATACAGCATTCAAAGAACAAAGAAAATTACAGCACAGGAACAGGTCCTTCGGCCCTCTAAGCCTGCACCGACATGCTGCCCGTCACAAGTAAAACTCGCTACCCTTCTGGGGACCGTATCCTTCCATTCCCATCTTACTCATGTATTTGTCAAGACGCCCTTTAAAAGTCAATATAGTATCTGCTTTGACTACCTCCACCGGCAGTGAGTTCCAGGCACCCACCACCCTCTGTGTAAAAAAATATGCCTCATGCATCACCTTTCAACCTTGCCCCTTGCACCTTAAACCCATGGCCCCTGGTAACTGACTCTTTCCCCCCCCGGGAAAAAGCTTCTGACTGTCCACTCTGTCCATGCCCTTCTTGTAGACCTTTATCAGTTTGCCCCTCAACCTCTGTTGTTCCAGTGAGAACAACCCAAGTTTCTCCAACCTCTGCTCATAGCTAATGCCTTCCATACCAGGCAACATCCTCGTAAATCTTTTCTGTACCCTCTCCAAAGCCACCACATCCTTCTGGTAAGGGTGGCGACCAGAATTGAACACAATATCCCAAATGCAGCCTAACTAAGGTTCTATAAGGATGCAACATTACCGGCCAATGTTTAAACTCGGTGCCCCAGCCAATGAAGGCAGGCATACCATATACCTTGTTGACTACCTTTTCCACCTGCGTTGCCACTTTGTGACCTGTACACCTAGATCCCATTGCCAATCAGTACTCTTAAGGGTTCTGCCATTTACTGTATATTTTCCATCTGGATCAGACCTTCCAAAATGCATTACCTCAAACTCCTCACCAAGTCCTTCTCTATGGTGAATACTGACATAAAGTACTCAGTTATTACCTCGCCCATTTCCTCTGGCTCCACACACAAATTCCCTTCCCTGTGCTTGAGTGGAGCAACCCTCTGCCTGGCTACCCTCTTACTCTTCATATATGTATAAAAAGCCTTGGGATTTTTCTTAATCCTGTTGGCCAATGACTTTTCATGATCCCTTTAGCCCTCCTGACTCCTTGCATAAGTTTCTTTTGAATTTCCCTGTATTCCACCCTTGTTTCATGTGTTCCCAGCCTCCTAGCCTTGATAAATGCTTCCTTTTTCTTTTTGAACTGTCACTTGACAACAGCCGTCTGCAAACCACCTTCTGGAAGCAGTGACTGCACTGATGCAGATCTTCCCCACGTCAGCCAATCAGCGTCACCACTCTGCTGTCCTCTTCCGGGTCTGGATTTCTTCTCACTGTGTTCAAAGAGTGCGTGAGTGAAGCTGATAGCAATTTGAGTATGAAGCCTGGGCAAAAGGCTTAGGGTCTGAGCCTATGTCCAGTGACACACTGGCATGTTCATTGTTCTTTCTATGTTTCGAGCAGATTTTGGTGGTTTTCACCTGTGGGTTATTATGTATGCAACAATTAACAGAATAGGATTTAATTTATTTCACAGTTAAATAATGGCATAATGAATTATGTGTTCTTTTTTACTGGATTTCTCATTGAGGACTTGGTAAGATTAAAAAAAATTAAACAATTTGTTTGAGAAGGGCCTGAGAGACATGGGGAAGAAGGCCAGCAGCACTGATCCACTAGTGAGGAGTGGGGTAGGGTTAGGGTTTCTTAACAAAATCAGCCCTCTTTATGCCTTTGTTAACAACTGTCTCTGGTTGAACCTCATTCACTTAACAGGGCCTCATCTTGTCCCCATTCTGTAGATTATATTACTTTGCATGGTTAGTGGCCAGCCATGAACATCTGGTGGGTAACACTGTATTCCTTTCGCAGCCAAAACCGAGTGGAATACGACAAGAGGATTCGTGCACAGGCCCGACGGTTTACACCAACATAAGTGTGAGCTAGGCTGGGTTATGGAATGGATAACAGAAGATGCCAGGGAATTTGTTCAGCAAGATCTTTTTTATTTTACAAAAGTGACCAGGTTTTAAATTGGGCCTTTGTTTTATAAAGTCCCAGTATATTCTTTCTACCAGGAACCATCTAATGACTGACATTGTTTATTTCCCTTTCCTCCAGTCCAGATTTTTGATTTTTTTTCCCCTATTGTTGCCCCCTGTTGTGGAAATGAACCTGGTCATTTGATGAGCCAGATACTTGCTGACATGGCTTGACCCACAATCTTTTCAGGATCCTGGCCGACAATTTGTATTTTTGATGGTATATGACAAAATATAAAGATGAAATAGACTTGCTTTTATTTTAATAAGGAAGAAGCTGATATTCCGAGTGCTGTAAAATGTTAAACTTTTATACTTACCATAATACACAAGCACATATAGTAATACCACCTTCATTCAATATTGTCAGTGTTTAAAGAGAATATTGTTTGTGTTGTGTTGTTTACCCAGATCAAGAAGTTCATTTAAGCATCCTATGCTTATTTTATGCTTCACCAGGAAGTGAGCTGGACTCCCATCTGACAGTCTGTTCTGCCTTTTCCCTATTTACACAATCTTGTATCCATCTGTGTCTTAGAAATATAATAAAGGAGTCATCCAAGATGTTCTATTGCATCAGCTCATGTGTGCTGCTTTCATAGTATTGGTTTACCTATGGTGTCTGCTCTGCCTGCACCTGACATTTCTGGCTAACTGTTGGGCTCTGTACCTAGCCAACTTTGCTCCCACGACCTCTGCTTCCTTTGTTGTCAATTCAGGAACCAATTATTGCATCAAGCAGGTAAATGGAACCTAGTTAAAGTGCCTTGACCTTTGCCTTTGCTTAACAGTTCTTGCTTATCTTTGGACACAAACAAACTGAACATGGCTGACAATTAAGATGGTCGTTCAAGTAGGACTATGAAAAGGAATGTAATAATGGGAGTAGCGTAATGAAGGGGATGGGTACTGTCTGTCCAGCTGTGAGTTGTGTTGTCTGCCAGTGCCAGGGTTAGAGAATACTTGGAAAGGAATGGTAATGATGTTTGCTCAGAAACGTTTTGAAGAACTAGGATTGAAAATAAAATTCAAAACGTCACAGATCTAGATTGCAGCGTGAATCTCAAAGTGGTATTGGGAGGTTTAAAAGTGTGGCTGAGAGTAGTGTGGGACTTTCGATTCATGGGACACTGGTAATAGGACTGTGGAAAGAGACAACTTTTGCATCTCAATGGGATCAATTTAAACTGAGCTAGGATTAGTGTACTGGAAAATTGAAACTAGGCCAGTAGATAGGGCTGATGAAGGATCCCAACCTGCAATGTTGACTTTCCTGCTCCTCTGATACTGCCTGATGTGTTTCTCCAGCTCCACACTGTATTGACTCTGACTCCAGCATCTGCAGTTCTTGTTATCGCCAGTAGAAAGGGCTCTGGTACTGAGGGTAGGAGTCAGAGTTTTTATAATACAGAGAAAAGCCCTTTGCCCATCATGTCTGCACCATTCATCAGGCATCTACGTATTCTAATTCTATTTTCCAGTAAATGGTCCATAACCTGTAGATATTTTTTATTCAACCAGTTCAGATATGTTATATACCTCTGGAGTAGGTGGGATTTGAATCCAGGGCTCCTGGTCCAGAGGTAGGGATGCTACCAGTGCATTACCAGAATCCCCAGTCTGTAGCCTATATGCTGTGGCATTTTAAATGCTCATCTAAATACTACTAAAATGCCTTGAGTCTTCCTGTGTTTACCACCCTTTTAGGAAATGAGTTCCAGATTTCAAATAATTGAGAATATTTAAAGAATTAATTCATAATTAGCCACAATTCTATATTCCCTTAAAGAATAAATAACATCTAGCTAAGTGGTCCAACTATGGCTAAAAAGAACTGGTTTTCACAACAATTGATTGTTTCAAAGTACTTTACAGCCAATTAGGTATTTTTGAAATGCAGTGTCTCTTGTAATGCTAATTTTGTGCTCCACAAACCTAGACAAATCTCTGCTTACATCTTATGAGGATCTAGGACATAAATTAAAATGCAGAACCTCAAAGGTTGTATTCTCAGGATTGTTAATAGAGCCACATGATAATTGAAATGAAATATACTAATGGTACTGTATTGTCCTTAAAAAAAAAACGGTGAAGGAAGCTGCAAGAGATGGAAGGATTTGGACAATTTCTGAGTCGCTGGAGTGTTTACCACATGAATCCTTGAAACTGAAGAGTCAAAAGTTGGAGTGTGTTGTGGGTCACTCATTTTTTAACAAAACATTAGATGTACTCTTTCCATGAGGACAAGACAAAAGCTTTAGGAGAAATGAGAGACAAAAACAAAATTGCTGGAAAAGCTCGGCAGGATCTGTGAAAGAAAAAACAGAGATAACGTTTTGGGTCCGGTGACCCTTCCTCAGAACAGTTCTGAGGGTCACCAGACCCGAAACATTAATGTTTTTTTCCTTCACAGATGCTGCCAGACCTGCTGAGCTTTTCCAGCAACTTTGTTTTTGTTCCTGATTTACAGCATCTGCAGCTCTTTTGGTTTTTATTTAAGAGAAATGAGAGATTGGTTTTATTGCTTCAGCTAATGGACAACTGATTTTGAAAGAGGCCTTGTGCTGAATGTTTCTTAGCAACTGCCTTAGGACTGCAGTTACAGTCTTTTCCAGTAGAACCGTATGGGGTCAGTTGAATAAAGATCTCTAGGCTGGAGAGGTCAGTTTCTGACTGTCCTGAAAAGTGGAAGAAAGCCCTAAAACATAAGCAGCTACAAAGATCTCTCTCAACTTAAATATTACAGGAATTGGATAAAGTTAAATCTTAGGATGTCTATCTGGCTCTCATCTAAGCTCAAGTCTGATTTGAAGATCTCCTCAATTCTACAGCTATCGGCATTTCAATTTCGTTAGCAAGAAATTTAGTGGATCATAATAAGTCTTCCCATTTTTTATCCGTTGACTTTGGACTGTTGACCCATGGTGGCACATTTTCCTTTTCATTTTTAAAAAGAATCTTATCTCTGCAGAGTTGTCTTGTCTACCATGTGTGTGTGTTCGTCATTAAGGGGATAAAACTTAATTGTGCACGGAAGCTAACTAATATTGCCACTTATTGTATAAATAAATGTTATTTTTGAGTTAATTACCAAAGCCTGGTGAATGTTCCTTTTATTCTGGATTGTAGCACAAAAGAGAGTCAATTGGACCTTTTGGTGATTAAATAAAACATTTAGACTTTTGTTGCAGCTCATGGAGTATTGGGCAAAACTATCAGAACACTCTTCCCCACAGTTGTAACAATATATGGCTCAAGGTCTGGTGTGGGGGAAGTGGACACCAGTCATGGGCCACTGACACCAGTACAGGGAAAAGTGGAAGTGGTACCGTTAAGGCAGTCTATGCTTGAACAATGCTGGGACTTATGTTCTTATGAATTGCAAAACGGAAATAATGTTTTAAACTAAATAATGGAAGCAAGTATGTCAAAGAGCAGAGACAAGAGAAGAAAATAGTAATATGGGAGATGAAGGTCAGAGAATGATCAGAGGGTACAGAGAGGAAAACAAAACTAGAGATATACCAACAAGCAAGACTTAGATGGTACAGAAACGACAAAACTAAAGGCTTTGTATCTGAATGCATGTAGCATTCATTGCGAAGTAACTAATTGATATGCACATTAAAATAAATAAATATGATCTAATAGCTATTATAGAGACATGGCTGCAGGTTGAAAAGTATTAGATCCTGAATATAGAGAGAAGTATCAGACATTCAAGAAGCATCGGACACATAGGAAGCCAGGTAAAGTAGGAAGGGTAGCATTAATAGTTTGGAACATGGCGTTTGCACTACAGTTAGACTTGGTATTGGTTCAGGAGATCGGGCTGTCAAATCAATTTGGGTGGAGATGAGGGATAAAGGGAAAAGTAAGTTTTGGTGTTCTGTAGGCTGCCTAACCAAAGTAAGATTAAAATTTTAAAAAATAAAGAAAATATAAAGAGCATTGGAGAATGACTAAATGTGTAATAGGGAGAAAGAATTTAGAGTAGGAGAGGAAGTTAGACACGGATGTAAAAATAGATAGCAAGATTGGTTAGCACTACTGCCTCACAGCGCCAGGGACCCAGCCTTGGGCAACTGTCTGTGTGGAATTTGCACATTCTCTCCATGTCTGTATAGGTTTCCTCCAGGTGCTCCTGTTTCCTCCCACTGACCGAAGGTGTGCAGGGTGGGTGTATTGGCCATGCTAAATTGCCCACAGTGCCCAGGGATGTTTAGGTTAGGTGGGTTAGACATGGGAAATGGGTCTGGGTGGGATGCTCTTCAGAGGGGCGGTGTGGACTTGTTGGGCCAAATGGCCTGTTTCCACACTGTAGGGATTCAGTGATTTTATATGGGTGGTTAGAAAAGAATGAGAGAGAGTGAGTATTGGCCCTCTAGAGTTCTTTGAGGATATAACAAGCAGAGTTGATAAAGTCGATGTAGTGTGGTTGTTGACTTGCTCGCCGAGCTGGTAAGTTTATTAGCAGACTCCAGTGAAGCTTCACTGGAGGCGCCCTGATGATGTTACCTAATATGGTGACGAAATGTCTGTGAACAAACTTCCATCTTGACAAGCAAGTCAGCAACCCAAGCTACAAGTCTTCTCAAAAATCTTGTAGTGTATTTGGATTTCCAGAAGGCATTCATTAAGGCATCATATTACTGGGGATAATGTAATAGCATGGATTGAGGATCGGTTAACACACAGAAAATAATTGGAATGAATGGGTCTTTATCATGTATCACGTTGGAAAAATGTAACTGCTGGGGTGCCATGAGAATTAGTTTGAGGAAATCAATTATTTACAATCTATATTAATGACTTGGAGGAAGGGGCAGAGTGTAACGATTGAAGATTTGCTGCTGATATAAATATAAGTGAGAGGGCATATTGGTACGACAGGGATAGTAAGCCAAACCAAATCAGCCTCATTATCACTGGATTCGTGACACAGTCAAAGTAAACATTCAATGACCTCAAAATTGTTCAATCGTACCTAACCAGACTTTACAAATATAAATTTGCTGTCCAAGATGTGTTAACTTAAAAAATAAATTATTATTAAGAATGTAACTTTAGCAGAACACAAATAAACTGCAAGGCAATATAATTATTATCTACAATCTAAGCCCAATCTTTGATCATAAGTCCCCACTCAGACATTGACAGACAGGCACAGGTAAAGGTTAAATTAGAAAACTAAATAAAAGAAGCATAATTTGCCAGTTTGATAATCATTTCAATGATGAATACCGGGCCTTCATGAAATTCGTAGATTATGGGCTGTATAACAGGCACATAGGGCTGTTTTTCTTGAATTCTGAAGTCATCAGTCAATGCAAACAGCTTCCAAAGAAGCTGGAGACTTTTACTTATTTTCTTACAGGCCTGGATTCTTTTCTCAGAACCTCTAATAAGTTGGTAACAGGAGCAGAACTAGAGAGGGTACAATTTAAAAAAAAAAAAAAATTCTTTCCAGGAGCTTCCACTAAAAAAGCTGCCTCCTGCTCAAAACCCAGTCACAGCCAGCGAACTCTTTGTTTCTCTTTTCTTTCAACGTGCACTGTGGTTGGCTGGCTGGCACT